ATTCTAAGGTAACAAACACACAATAATTCTTATTCTCAGCTGATTAAACACTAATAAAAACATATATATGAATATTATATTCTGACAGTAGATCCTCCTCAATGTGGACTGGACACTGGACCTTTAACTTACATGTTATCTACATTAATTCAATACACACATATGTTTTTATATTTAGGTGAGAGGAACCTTCACTCCTAACTATTTACATGAGACATAATAGAAATTTACTTGACCTGGTGTGAAAGAAAGGGCCATGCGTTTCCATGTGATATAATTTACTGCTGATAGCAATAAATGAGAAAAAATAACATCTCTCCTCTCTTTCTACAGACAACCAGGCCCGAGCTGAAACTCCCACCTCTCTGTTTACAAGACAAAGTGCCAACACCTGACTCATTTTCCACGGAGCTATCAGTTCCCAGCGGACTCATCAGGTTTCACTGTTGAGGGTTTTCTAAAGCAAACTGCATGCTGGGACAACCGTAAATGTTGACCTCCTGACCTCCTTCATTTAGTCCCTGTGCGGTTCCAGCCGGTTGTTTGACCAATGCCTCGATGGAAAGTGTTCTTCACTCAGCACTTGCGATGGTCCAGCACCATCACCCAAGCCCTCGTCCTGTCTGTCATCACGTTTTGCGTCATCCTCCCGCTGTGCTGCCATCGGCTGCTTTACTCTTACTTCTTCATCCGGTCCATGTACCTGGACTCCATGAGTGAGCAGGTCCTGCATAAAAGCCTCGACCGAGGCCAGGACGCTCTGCACTACTGGCAGAAAACTTCCAGTGCAGTGCCGGTGTCTTCTAGGTTCAGTGACATCGGCCAGCATCCTGAGCTGCTGGTTATCGTGGTGACGGCCAGGCGGAACGAGGGGCGGGACTTCCATTACCTGCTCCAAGTGATGCAACGACTAAGCGGCATTCTGGGAGGCTGTGGGGAGCAGCGGTGTGCAGAGGTGTTGGTCTGTGACGTGGAAAGCGGTCCCCAGGAAAACCAGGACGCCAAACTGCTGGAGACCCACTTCAAGGTAATCCGGCGTTCCCCCCAGGAGCAGCAGAGGAACAGGGAACAAATCAACACCTTTGAGAGGGAGAAGAGGGATTACGTCTTTTGTATTCGCAAAGGATGGGAGCTGGTGCAGCCCAAAAACATGATTGTCCTGGAAGACGATGCTTTGCCGAGGCAGGACTTTTTCACAGTCATAAAGGACCTGCTGTCACGTCGTTTTGCCCTCCAAACTCTTTACATAAAGCTGTATCACCCTGAAAGGCTGCAGCGCTACTGGAACCCTGAGCCTTACCGCATCCTGGAGTGGGTGGGACTTGGACTGGTCGCAGCGACGGCCCTCCTGCTCACCTTTCCTTACTGGAACCCCTTCTCTTTCTCCTTCACGTTATCGTCCAGCCACCTTCTCTTCTTCACTCTCTACTTCATGGCTGCTGCGGAGCTGCTGGGCCGGCACTACCTCCTGGAAGTGCGGAGACTTTCCCCGCAGCTCTACACCGTCTCCCCGGCCACAGAGTGCTGCACCCCAGCCATGCTCTTCCCCGGCAACGCCTCTCTCAGGGCGGCCGAATACCTGGACGGCTCGTTCTGCGTCAAGGGCAACGCCAAAGACATGGTTCTGTATCAGATGGCGAGGACGATCCCTGGGGAAAAGTCTCACAGTGTGGAACCCAACCTCATCACCCACATCGGGGCCTATTCCTCGGTCAGGGCCAACCCATCCAGGCCCAAACTCCTCTGAAAGGGAGGAGCCAGGAGGAGCTGGAGGTTGCTGACTCAATGCAACAAGGCTGGATCTAATCAGGTTCCTCCTCACTTGGTTCTTCTTTTGTTTTGTTTTTCTGACATGTCCCCTTCTGAGCTATTGATCGCTCAGTGAGTGTTGGTTTGGTGATTTGCAGGTGAAAACTCTGCAGGAAGTGTTTTAGCCACATTTTTCATTCATCCATTTCATTCATGTCTGACAGATAAACTTTGAATCGACACAGCTGTCAATAGACTACAGATTTACTTATTCTACATGCACGTTAGCACAACTGAAGTTTATTAATTATTTTATACGCACTTACGTACGGTAATGGTGTTCCCCAGGTGACTTACACTCAATATTGTGCCTCCTCATTAAAAATGTTCCAATATTGGGACGATACCTTGACTTTGATACTGGTTCTTTTTTCAATATCAATTTTAAAATCAGTTTCTCCAGGAAGTTGCGACATTGCAATTAACAACAATTAACGCAACTTTCACACTTCCTGTGAATTCAGTGCCACCTTTTGTCTAATCACTGTAACTTTTCCATAAATGTCGCCCACGCAAAACCTTCAGCCATACTCACCAAACTTTTAGAGATTTTATTCTCACTGGAACAAGTTGCATTTAATTTTTAATGAATTACACAAGAAAAGCAAATTTTCACTTTGTCCTGCAGTTTCATTGCAAAAAATGCATGAAAACATCACAACAGTTTTTTATGTACGCCTTATCGAAATTTGGTACCCAAGGACAAGGCCTTTTTAGTTAATTCAATTGGTGCCATAAAAGTGTTGAAGGTCGGTACCCAGACGCAGACAGCACAGACAGCAGTGATCTACCCAGGTAGTGTAGACACTGTCTGTTGATACTGTCGTCTCAATAGTGAAATCTAGAAATCACTTTAACTTTGTTGTGGTTGGTAGAGTCATTTTACCGGCAAATCACATAAACCACTCTCAGTGTGCTGTGTGTTCAGTTTGGGACCACAAGTCATGTCATCACTGCTGGAAAACTTTCATCATATTTGCTGACTTCAGCTAAGGAGTTATATGCTTCTCTGCTGCCTGACACTATTTGAAAATAATCAGATGCTGTCCACCGTGATCATCATCCACCCGAAGACAACTCTTAGAACAACAGCGTGTCAATGTGATGATGAAAGTGGTGAAATTTTGAAGGATTTGTTCACTGTTTGTACACCCAGACCTTACCCAGACAGATTTCAGAGAACGCTTTAAATGAGAAAAGGGAGTGCCCTCAGAAGTAGAAGAGATGAAGAAGAGGGTGTTTTGTACATTGGTCTTTGGAGCTTAACAATCAAGTATAACCATGGATATAAGAAACTAACTTTCTGTTGCAGTGAGGTTGCGGTTGAAAAACAGTGAACATGTCTTTTATGGGACAAATTTTGGGTCTTTGCCGCCCTGCAGTCCCTGTGTGTAATCCAGTCTCAGTGGATCTAACAAGGCCAGAATTCACAGAGTAAGTCTCTTTAATGTTTGAGGACAAGACGATATCTTGTCTTTCTGATTGTGGCCTTTCTTTAACACCAATGTTTGTAATTTCATTATATAAAAATAGAATTTTAAAATAGTGAGCAGCCATCTCTGTGATACAGAGCGATATTAATGCAGTACTGCTGCTTACGGAGGCCCAGAGTGACCATCAAGAGAAAAAAATAAAATATGTATATATCAAGGCCACGTTTTACTACATGAAGCTCCTGAAAATGCTATTGTGTGCACAGACAATCATAGCTCCTACCAACCCTCTGGCCTGAAGGCATGTTGGGGCGAGTTAAAAACAACATAAATATTAGTGTAAAGGTCCGAGACTGGAGATGATCAGCCTAGAATGTGACAGAACAAACTATTTGGGGTCAGCTAACAGTGTCTGTTGTGCAGGTCTCTGTATACATCAATAGATACATCGTTAACTGTAGTGGTGACGTCATTCGGAGTCAGTGTGTGCGCAGTAGTGATCGGGGTTGGCGCCACAGTATCGCGGTGAATACACCTGGCTGACTCAATGGCGAACAGAGCTCAGCTTTTTGTAAAAATGTCATTTAATTATGTAGGTTCTCTAATTATTAATTATTTTTCATGATCTGAGTGCGGCAGACAGGAAGTCGGTCAATTAAGGGAACTTGGGTTACTAGTTCCATTTTGCATTTTAATTCAGCAGGCGTTTGCTGTTGGCCGTAGCCAACCTCAGTTTTGACCCTCCAAGGAAAAAAAAAATAGGATGGTGTTTATATACTCATGTGCAAAAATTAATCCAAACGTATGCATTCAATAGCATTTTCAGTACTTGATGTAGTAAGAATGTGGGCATGTATATTTATATTTCCACTCTGGGTCCGTAGCTGCTGGAGATTCCACTACCAGAGCAGAACCACACTGGCATTACCTCAACATGAATGCGCTCTACCGAGCAGTGGCACGACCTGGCTGTTTTCCTTCATACTTGTTTAAAATCAGAGTCTTGTACAAAGGTCTTATATATGCAGATTAGATTCATGTTTAACTGTTTGTATTTTCAAACAATAGATTTCCATTTTCAGCATTGAGAAGAGCAAAAGCTGTGAGGGTAGAAGGAGTGTTTGGTAAAGAGAGACCAGTTTGTGTGGGGTTACTGCCGTGTAAACATCCCCAAAGAAAAATCACGACTGAGCCGCTAACGTTAGCTTAGCTTAGCATTAGCGGACACTGAGAGGATTTGCTAAAATGTCAAACTGTTTATTTAAGACCAACCAAGCGTCTCGCTGACCACCCTGTATCACTGAATGTGCCTTTAATGATTTTGCATTGAACATAATTATAACAGAATATTTATCCATGATTCAGCTCGGGTTGAAATGACTAAAGTTGATCCGTTGCAATATTTGAGTGGATTTAATTTGTACATACTCGTACTTAATAATTAAGTGAATAGAGATACAGGAAGTAGCTGCCAAAGTAAAACCATAGGCCTTTGTTCTCCGGATACACTGGAGTTAAAATTCAGGAACTCAAACTGAGTCCTGTTGTCGGCTCTAACCCGCTAAATGAAAATCAAATAGCAACCATATGATTAATTTTATGTTTATTGTTGTTAAAACATGGTTGGCAGCTTGAAATGAAACATTTGCATCTTCAGTTAACAGAATTTAAAATGCTGATGGGATGTTAAAATGAAAATGACATAAACATAAATATAGATAATAGATAAACATTGCACTACGTTTATTTTATCTACACATATTTTAAAGGAATATTACGACATGTTGGGTACAAAAAACAGTGTAAGTGTAAAAACTTGTTGTGGTTTTCCTCGGGGTTATGTTCCCGTCTGTTTGTTGGCTGGGACCAGTGACTTCCTGGATTCCTCCCTCGCTGACTGCCAACAGAAAATAGTCCGGCACATACCCTGTTGAACGACTGATTGCCATCTTTACACGTTGTTTTATTAAATGAACCAGATATAACGTGTTATTCTTCGAGCTTTAGGGGTGCTGGGTTTTGCTACCTTTGGACAGGTTGGCTGTTTGCTGGTGGACTTTAGTGGTTATTTTTCAGAGCACATTGAGCTGGACTTGTGCGTCCAATTTCAGTCTGACTAATGGTGTGAGGGGCGTGGCCTTTCCAAAATGTAATTTTTGGGCCTTAATTATAGCGCCACCATCTGGCCGTCTGGGCTCATGTTTCTTAGGAAGCACATCATTTCCTGTTATTAAGTTTAATGTTTCTAGCTCATTCCAACTCACAGGAATTTGAGCTTTGCAGCAGACAAATAATAATAATGATGAACTGACACAAAAACAGAATAAGGTTTCTGCTCCTTCGGGACTTTGAATTATGCTGTTATTAATATAAAAAATCCACTGTATTTATACATTCATTCAACACTACTTAAATTGTGTCTGATTTTATTACAGGCCTCCAAATCACAAATACTGTCTTTGTTTTGAGTGAATATTTATTTTTTGGACAAATATGTATGAATAGCACTATATGAGTCATTTTAAAATGTATTAATTGAGCAGCTCAAATGAAATATATGAAAACATGAAACAAACTGAATTCAGGTGGATTATTGTTGAGGAAAACTATTTTCTACATGATTTCTGACTTCAACATTAAATTGCACTTACAGCACAAACATATCAAAAAATAAGGACAGAGTTAAATTATTTTATATCATTAATAATATAAAGTAAGAATCAGAGTGTTTGATAAAAAGTTCAAAATATCTTTTCTATTTTGATGGAAATGTTCAGACACATGATCCGAGTCTGTACAAAGATCTGCAATTAGAATACTTTATTGAACTTGACAAGTTCCTCAGTTTTCCTGCTCGTTTAAGTTGCAGATCTACATTCATTTCTTCAATAAGTAAATTATTTAAAATTTGATTTCAGCTTGGTTTTGGTTTGATTTGGGTTTTCTTCCATGCATACAGTACATATGCTTTTATTTTGTATTTTAATCATAAGCAGCACAAACATTTAAGTTTAGTTTGAGTTGTGTGAAGTTTTAATGTTTTTCTCTTCATGTTACATATCACTTTTTTTTATTTTGGGTTGAATTTAAATCGACTGTTTACACTGAAATTCTTTGTCTGTTTTCTACCTTTAAAACACTCAAATAAAGCACGCTGTCAAAAGTCACTTGGTTGTCAGGAGGTTTTTATTCAGCAGTGACGTCTTCTTGACGACCAGGCGGGAAGTTGGAGCTAAAGAAAATGCCTGAGATGAACAAAGCTGTTTAGTGTTTGGTTCAACAGGACAAAGAATCTACAGGTGACCCACAACATCGGTTTATTTACTCACATTAACAGTTCAGACAGGAAGAAAAGCTATCATGCTTTGGGGTTGTGTTGCAGCCACTGGCACAGGAAACATTGCACATGTGGAGGGAAGAATGGATTCCACTAAATACAGCAAATCCTGGAATCAAAGATCACAGCATCTGTAAAAAAGCTGAAGCTGAAAAGAGGAAATTCAACGGCAGAATAATCATCCTCAACGCACCTCGGAATCCTCCACGGACGACCTCGAGAGACCCAGCTGAAGGTTTTTGTCCTCTGTGTCTACATTGTTTTTGGGAGTCTTTCATAGCTAACTTCCTGTAAAGAGGTGAAGCACATGTAAATGTTTTAGAAAATGAATTGCTATTTTCTAATGTATCTAGGCTTAAATATGAGCACAAATATTAGCTTTATTTTCCAATTTACATCATTTAGGGTGTAAATTTAAAAGGGTTCCTTCTTTTAAAGAGTTCATGTGCCAACTTTTAAAACATTGTTCATACAATTAATTACCTACTTTCTTTAATATTTTGTATTAAAAGTTACACAAACTCCAGAGAGTGAGAGAGAGAATTTGAACACTAGTGAATTTATCAATCATTTTAAGAGTGAAACAAAGGGTAATCAACATTTCACCCCTATATATTATTGATTATCTGTAGAGTATAGGCCTCAAACACAATATTGTCTCAAAAAAGGTTCACTCAAAATATATTAAACCTGAAATAACGTTTACCTCCAGTGCTTTTGTTCAGGTACGCTGCCATTTTTTATTTGTGAATGTTGGAAGTCACATGACCTTTTCTTCTGAAATGCAGTTGTTGCTCCCCCGTTCCCTCCCTCACAGGAGACAATCAAACATTAAGGTGAGGAGACTGATCAGCTGTTAACACTGACGTCATGAGACATTTTTCAGGCTGTTGGAAGCAGAACCCCTCCCTCTGCCCCAGAGAGCGGTTGGACTCTGGACTCACGCACTGTTACAGTGAAATGAGTTTATGAAGCCTGTTTATTGTTTCTATTGAGGTCTCTGCTGGACAAACAGTTCTGAAGGTCATTTTTATTATTATTATTAGATAAGTTTTTATTGATCCCCAGCAAAATATAAAGTCAATAAAATGAACACCATCTGCAATATTAGAGTGCTGAACACATGAATTCAATAATTATAATTCACTATATCATATGGAGCATTGTACATCTTGAGTATTTTTACTTTAGAATCAGGTTTATTGCCAACTAAGTTTTCACATACGAGGAATTTGGCTTAAGAATCACAATTCAATTCAATTCAATAGCAAGCGCTTAGTATACCTTGTTGGAATTCCTGCATCCAGTGCTGAGGTTTCTGGAGTCTACCATCTAATGTAATCAGAATAAAGATCTAGAGAGATGGTGGTAAGTGGACCACTTGAGAATGTGGAATAACTCTTAGCTTCAAGGAGAAGCTCTTATCTAAGAGATGGGTTTTATTCACAGCTTTTTATTAACGTTGTTATGACAAGTAATATTTAAGAGGTGGGCTGATGCGTCAGAGGCAAAGTCACACAATAAAGCTCTGGAGCGCGTAAGAGTCTCACAGTGTTATAAACCATATGTGAAGAGCTTTCCAGAACATAGCAAAAGCATGGCAGCTTTCACACCTGGTGGAATAACCTGCACGGTGTTTGTCTCTATATGAGCTTTAGTTAACAGGTCCAGAACTCTCTCTAAGACTTACAGATTATGACCATACCGAGAGAAGCGAGAACATGAGGAGACAACAGAGCTTCACAGCTCTCGGGTTGTCTGAAGAGGATTATATCCAAAGTGCACACTCCAAGTTTTATTTCCTGAATGTGATGATAGTAAGATATAAGACATCACAATAAAAACACTGATACTAAGTTGATGAGTTAAATAATAAAGCATTTGTCCAGGTGACGAGACAAAGTTTTTTTGACAATAACTCTTTTATTTCATGGCGAGCGTTAATCTGTGAAAGGTACAAATTAAATTGAAAAAAACTATTTGCAGGTTTCACTGGATCAATCAATTTGTTGCCGAAATCCGTGAACTATATCTTAACTAAGACATTCATTAGTTGAGAAAACCCTATACACATGTGATCAGTTAGTATCTTCCAGTTATCGTGCACTTACAGAGCTTTGTTGAGCTTTGACCAACATGCAGCAGCCCTTGAGAAGAGCCTCCTCCAACCTGAAGCAGTAGTATTTTCTTCAGGTCCAAACACCTCTAGATCTTTTTCGATGACAGTAAGATGAAGACCAGAGCTAACCACTGAGCAGGAGACAGTTTTATCGTGGAGAGTCTCCCCTGATCCCAGGCAACGTTGGATCGTCTTCCCACTTAAGAAACGATCATCAGTTCCATTCAGACAGTGGGACAGATTGATGTTTCTCTCTGGAAGAACAAGTCTCAACTGAATCTTCTTTTTGATGTACTCGACTGTTTCCTGATTGGTCCCCTGTGAGCCACTTCCTGTGTGTGTCATCCCAGTAGCCTTGTAAGATGTCTGATTGGTCTCCAGTGAAAGACCCAGGAGGGAAGCGGAGGGAACATGTCCAGGTGTCCATTTGGACTCTGTAGGGCCTTGTCCACAGCATTCTGGGTATACACATGTGTTGGTTCAGGATGTCTCCTAGATAGTTTAGACCCTGGAGAGATTGATTGTTGTTCTGACAGCAGATTTGACTCCCAGAGTTGATAATGTCAGAATGGACATGAAGAGCAGCCAGAAACTCCTGAACACCTCCAGATGGACAAAGCAGAAGACCTATGTCCTGGGTACCAGTCCTGCCTCCTCTTTAAAGATCCTGTGTGGGGGGAACACTCCTGAGTACACTGAGGCTGCTCTGATATTGATGCCGCTCTCTGTCAGGTCTGATTCATGAAGATCAAGTTGCCTTTCTGAAGCTGCTCAAAAGCCCAGTTTTCCCAGAGACTCCAATCATCTTCCTGCCTTTTTATCCCAAGTGTTGATCTTCCTCAGCTCATCCATCAATACTTGACATTCCTTAGTTTGGACCTGAACCCAACCAGGAAGTGGATGAACATCCTCCAGTCAGGGTCCTGGGCCAGCCCTCCTACTCTTTCTGGTCTTCAACAGATCCTCCAGAACTTGTAGCAGTGATCCAGCAGAAGACTGGGAATGTGCCATGATGTGGACGCTTCGGATGTCTTGATTGGGGATGATTGCTGGCCTGCTCCTCATCTGTGAATCTCTTCCTGAGGTACTCTCTTCTGTGATTAGTGAACCCTCGACCTCTGTCACCATGTCAACGCATCAGGAGGGATCTGAATGGCTGCTGCAGGTCGTGTGGTTATCCAGAGGCGAGCAGAGGGAAGCAGTTTCCCCTGATGAGGTTTGTCAGCAGCACATCCACTGAGGTGGACTCTGTAACATCAGTCAGGATCTCAGTGTTGTGGAAGTCCAGAGGAATTCGACACATCATCCAGACCGTCAAAGAGAACACAACCTGGAACTCTTCAAAACCTGCAGATTCTGCTTCTTTGGTTTCAGTAAAAGAAGTGATGAACAAGTTCACCAACTGTACTTTTTCCTTTCAAGCACATTGGCTCTCTGAAGTGAATGGAAATGTGAACTGTATGTCCTGGTTGGCTTGCCTTCAGCCAGTCCAGAGGAACTTCTGTGTTAAGACTGTTTTCCCAATGCCAGCCACCCTTGTCATCAATGTCCTGATTGGTGATCTCTTCCAGGTGAGGGTTTAAAGATGTCTTCACATTTGATTGTTGTTCGGTCTGTCTGGTTTCCAGGAATGCTGTTTCAATCTGTCTGACCTCATGTCATCATTGACCTCTG